ACGGACAGACGGACGGACGGATCGACATATAGACGGACAAATAAACAAACGGACGGACAGACGAAACGGCCAGACAGAAGGAAGGATGGACAAATAGACAGCCAGACAGACGAACAGACGAACAGATGGACAGACAAACAAAAAACAGTCGTACGGACAGACACACAGACAGACGGACGGACGGAGGAGTCACGCTTTACCGAAAAAACCCTGTGAAGCTTCGCTCCACTTATTATTCACTCTGTGGATATGCTGTGGCGGTTTTTTTTTAATTTTTGTTACTAAAATTAAATAGACTGGCTTAATGGCGAATACAATATTTTGTGTTATTTCCCCTCTTTCCCGATGTTTTTATTAATCACACGCAGCTCATTTCATATGCTTTAGCAGCGTCTACTGACAAAGCTTCACCATATTATAAAGAACACTTTGTGGAAAAGAACCATATCTGTACATTGGAAGTACGCCATAACGTACATGCACGTCTATTCCTTTGGCATCATTTTAGCAAAATCTTGGGAGCATACGCTCTTTCTCTTGTTCAGCCATCATTACATGCATAACCGCTACGCATCACAGTCACACCATTGCTTAAAACTGCCGCATCAGTTCTTTAAGTATAACGTTACATTTATTACCATAATTACCTCTGCTTTACTCTGACGCAGTCGGAATATTGAAAAGCATTTTTCCCCGCCTCTGCTGTACTGAACGTCCATTTTGCGACTTACTAAAAAACTGGGGAGAGTAGTTTACGTTTTTACAAATAATTGAAGCATAAGTTTCTTTATAGCAGTCCAGGCAACTTTATTTACAAATAGCAATGGCTGATCAGTATCTGTTTACGTTTTTACAAATAATTGAAGCATAAGTTTCTTTATAGCAGTCCAGGCCGCTTTATTTACAAATAGCAATGGCTGATCAGTATATGTAGTAGTAGGAGCCATGTTACTTAATAATTATTTTTACTTCTAATAATTCATGACGCCATTTAACCATATGGTGTAGTAGCGCAATTTTCACGGGGACAAAGAGAACAAGAACACACGACACTCGCTACACTCGCAACTACACCATATGGTTAAATGATGTCTCACCAACTAGCCCAGCTCTCAACCCTACTGAATTCATGACGCGTTTCGCCGTGATGCTTCCATCGGCAACACGATGCGGCGTGTCACAGTGATTATAAATCGACGGTAAGTGAAGAAATGTCGTTTTATAGACCACGGTGTCAATCCTTAGAGGTGTATGGGCATTTTATTTTAGTTAACAGTGGGCTTGTGCGATCATAGGGGAGAAAACTAAGCTTCACTGCAAGAGCGAAATAATGAAAGTGATAGCAAAAAATTGTAATGCTATACGAAGTGAAGCTGACAGCTAATTCTTTTGGATCTGATTTCGTGCAACTCTACAAAACGGTGGTATAAGAGAACAGGGCCTGCTCCAGGGAGAGCTGTGCTTTTCGCACAGTCTCTTCGCGTTGAGAACGCAGCACTTAGATAGGTATACGAGCCGTCCGCTCATGCCTGTGGAGTTAACGCGTGCACCAGCGATCGCAACCATGCCCTTAGAATTAAAGTTCAAAGTTGCTGCTGAAGTGGCACGCCCCCTCTCCCTCCCCCTTCTGCCACGTCTCTTCTTGCTCGTTCACGATTGGGGGAAGAGGAGGCGTTTAACCTTTACTTGAGCATTCGATCACAGGTCTAACTCACTGAGAATGTTACCACATGCACGTTGCGAGAGAACGAGGTGGTCCGGTTCGTTTGATCTCTACTTCAGCCATGTTCGTCGCCCACGTTCGCGTGCTTTTGCCTGTGTGTAGAACATATGGTGTTGGGGGGGGGGGGAGCATTTTAAGTTTGGACATAATACAGTACACGAAGAGAATGGTGATGGTGACGTTGATGGCAAAAGCCCGTCGAGAGTGTCCATACAATTGGTACCGCAGTAAAATATTACCGGAGATGCGAAATGTCAAATGTTAGCGCAGCTTTGCACGTATTTTCATTCGGTGATCTATTGAGGTAAATAGTTTTAAAAAGATAGTCCAACCCGTCTACATATAACTCCCCCCAAAAAAACTGGACGTCATATGATTCATATGGTCATATGATTCCACGTAATACTCCTAAAAAACTTATCGTACTTTTAGTGCGCAAGTTTGTTTCACTGCGTTACTTCAAGATAATGCAAGAAAGGCGGCTTCCTAACAAAACGCGAGGATGTTCTTTTGTTTGTTTGTTTGTTTGTTTGTTTGTTTGTTTGTTTGTATGTTTGTTGTTTGTTTGTGTTTGTTTGTTTTGTTTGTTTGTTGTTTTGTTTGTTTGTTGTTTGTTGTTTGTTGTTTGTTTGTTGTTATATCACAGTTTGCAGTTGGGGCTGTGGATTATGTGCATAATCCACAGCCCCAACTACAAACTGTGATATAACAAACAAACAAACAAACAAACAAACAAGATACGGCATCGATGTAAACAGCAGCTTCTCATCTTAAAACGCAGCTGTGCGCACCGGTCGAGCTCCGGAAGTCTCTAGTACGCCTTGAACCTCATATCGGTCTTGTTCAATGTCACCCTCAGCGTGCTTCTTGCGAGGTTTTTCCGTGTTACGGAAAATGTCGAGTTTCGAAGAGCTGCAGAGAATTTCGTGATAACGAACGGCGACTGCGTACACCACGCAGTGCTCTGATAATCACCATGCTGACTATTTCAAATGCATGTGGAGAAGTCCCTTTTGATGACGAAAAGTCAACTTTTCAAAATCGAAGCTCCTGAAGCTCGAAATATAAAGGCTGCTGTCCGAAAAACCCTTCGTGCCGTTGCCTAGCAATAATCAAGCCACAGCTGTGCACCACCTGGGTTTAACTGAAGGACTTTGGCAGAACCCTTCAATACCGCGCATGCGCTGAAGAGCAGCCGCCGTCAAGCAATGCCCACGGACAGAGAAACTCCGTGCAGCCGCCTTGCCCAGTTTGCCCGTTGCGGCATGAGCCGAATACTATATAGCGACAAAAGGCCCGCACCCCGGCTTGCGCGTGAGTTTCTGTCGCTGGAGATTCTTGCACGGTCTTTGACCGGCTCTGCTTCGACTTTATCTGACTAAGTCAAAAGTACAACCTACAGTCTCATGCAACTTAAGAAGATCGGATAGGTCCTGCCAAGACGACCAAACCGCAGCAGCCGATTGCCTCCGGGACTTGGGAAATAGTATCACTCATGCACTTGGCAATGTCCTCCGAAGGCGGAGTCATGATTAGTCCGGCTTGTGACATCACAATAGAGTGTGCACCCATTGGCACAAGCTTGTTTGTATGCGCCTTTGAGGAGGAAATACCGTGGACTTATAAAGTTGCATTTGCTATAGCATCAGCCACGACGTCTATGTTAAACGCCTAGATTGTCCATCTTCGCCATTTCTGAAGCTTTACTCGACCAGCGTAAACTTCATTGTATTAGGATGAAAAACGAGCCTGCTGGGGCACTTCGCACCGCTCTATTTTCAATGTATGAGATTCTCCGGCAATTTTTCTTTAAATCTGCCGAAGATATTCTTATGCATTCACGTTAAAGTATCGTGAGCTCTGACGAGAGTTATATATAAAGATCACTTCAATTTACCTGAGTTTGGTATAGTTGGTTTTGACTCCTACCATATGTACGCCCTTTTACGGATTGTTCTTTATTCTGGCGATAGCAGAGAGCTAGTGTTTTTCCATGAGAACGCCTGAATTCACCTCCAGCCAACCGGACACTCAGCGTTGGCTGTAATGTTGTGAAACCCCATTAAATAACTCTATAAAAAGGTGCATGGTAGTAATTTAAGATTTCTTTCCCCGCCACGGTCTAGTGGCTAAGGTACTCAGCTGCTGACCCGCAGGTCACGGGATCCAATCCCGGCTGCGGCGCCTGCATTTCTGATGGAGGCGGAAGTGCTGTAGGCCCGTGTGCTCAGATTTGGGTGCACGTTAAAGAACCCCAGGTGGTAGAAATATCTAGAGCCCTCCACTACGGCGTCTCTCACAATCATATGGTGGTTTTGGGACGTTAAAGCCCACACACCAATCAGTAATTCGAGTTTAGAGTTTTATAGATACACATTATATGGGAACACATGTTCAAAAAAGTGAGGACCAATTAACTGCCATGATAAAAATTAAAATTCATTGAATGAGTTCACTGAAAAGCTTGGAGGACGCTTGAGCTTCGCTTGCTAGAGCAGAACGTGCTGGCGCGATCGGGTCCCGACTGCATCGCCTTCTTAAGTGCTTACCTCGCTTTGGTTGGCGGTGCATGTCTCAAACATGCCGCAAGGAAACAAACTTCTATGCGCGTAGTATTGGCCGTTTCGAACTATCCTAGAATGCGTATTGCAAGTAAGTTTACGCTGTGCCCACTACTCCGTGATTCTTCAGTTTGCACATTGGCACAGTACTCACTGCACGTCCGTAAGGTGACACTAACCTAAGCAGCTTCTCACCCTTGAGCGCTTTGCAATGCGTGGTTTTTCAAAAAACACACGCGTTGCGCACTTCGTGTTTTGACGCCTCGTGCTTCGGCCACCGATTATTACCACCACCTCCAACTTCACGTGCTTGCCGTGCAGAATACCTAGGTTTGATTCTCATTTCAAACGAGGTTTCTGGAATTTTTATCATTCTTTCGGTCACAACCAATGACACTGAGTTTCTCGTTTGCTCCATTGTGGCAATGGACAAGCATTTTATAAAAATTTACGTTTGTAAGGTACAGCGTGGCCAATCCTTCTTATGGGTACGAGCTAAGACCTAGGTGACAAAAGACGGCGCTTAGCGTTTAACCTTGAGAGGCCTTGGCGCTCAAGCAGGGCTTTAAGGTTGAAGCCATCGTGTGGTATTCCAAAAAATTATTTCGCCGTGTCACCTTCTGCACTGCTACGCAGTAAGGACACCCTTCCCCTGCTGCCATGCACATTTTTGAAACCCTCCACATGTTTCGAAGAAATCAAGATTCTGGGTGTAGTGCCCTGTGGAACTTTTTATTTACACTGGTGTTCTTTACAGAGACACCTCTTCCTTGGGTGTGGCTTCCTTTAGTTTTCTCCGCGCAGCAGGTAGTTCAGGGCCACCGCAAGCACCAAGAGCATAGTAGAGCCGGAAAGCACAGAGCCGCCACATCGCAGATCACGCATCTGGCTCATGACGGAGCCCTGCAACTCTTGGAATTCGTTGTTGTTCGCGCCGACACACTTTGAAAAGTAGCTTCCAGCTGACAGGCATCCCTTGATCGACTCCAGTTTGCTGCGAGGGGAAAAGACGCAGCATCAGCAATAGAACCCAACTGAAAAAGTTTTGAAGCTAAAAAAAAAACGTACGATCGCGTTCAGTATGAGCTACACCGCGGGAGCACACTGCCACTAAAGCCACGACTGCATAACTTTGAAGTGCGCGCGGTCAAGTATCTGCTAATACTAATGTGAGACTGATCGAGTGACTGAACCGGGAAAAACGCTACCAGTACAAGTTTCAGCATTTTACGTGTTATACCGTACTACGGTTTCGTCTGGCATGAGTGGGCCCTTAAATTAATTCGCTATTGAAAATTAAACGAGCTTAAGATTCTCGGCTAAAGCAGTAAAACATAAGATTGCAGAAATGAGGCAAACACACACCTCTACAACTGCAATTTTATGAGCATAGTCGCTTACTACACTTGCAATACTTACTAGCAAGCCATAGTTTTCTTTGATGCAGTTTTGCGGGCTTCTTCGATGGAAAGTTGGTGCTTGGTGTAGATGCCTCGGCAGTAGTCAGTGTGAGCTCTCAGAGTGTCGGGAACGCAGTCGGGCGACTCTGCGCAAGAGCAGAGGGCGAAGTGATTCAAATGGTTTTCATGAACACTTTTATATGCAGTTTAGTGAAGATAATGGAAATTTGGATAGACACTCACCAGCACTTCCGACTAGGTTTCCTGCTGGCTTGATTTCTTTCTTTGGTGTCGTTCTTGTCGGCTCCATGGTGTGCACCCTCTCTCCAAAGCTCATGAGAGGCCTCTCGGCTGCATCGACGTGACCGACTTGCCCTTTAGCGCTGACGGCGGGTAAGGTGGACTTTTTTATGCCTGCTGCTTCTTTCTCATCCTCCTCGTCGTCCTCATCATCTTCATCGTCCGGATCCTCATCGTCGTCGTCGTCGTCGTCTCCTTGCAAGTCGTCGTTTCTGAGGATCTTCAGGCCTTCGGTGTCCTTCAGGTTCTTGTTGAGCTTCCTCGACGCGCGGCTGCCCCTCAGCCGTCGCGCTCTAGCAGCCCTCCTGCTGCTGTATCTCCTGCCTCCTAGCCCAGACGACTTCGACGCACGACTATCCGACGAGATGAGACGATGACCCGCAACGTATGGGACGGCTTCTCTCATGAGTCCCATGGACTCATTAGGCGGGTGCCTCTCTGCTCTTTCTAAGGCCGGTGGGAGTTCGCGACCCGGTGCTTCGGGAAGAGGACGCAAGTAAATGCCCGTCGCACCCCGAGGCTCTGTAAAATGAGATTTGTTGGAGTAGCTTTCTTGGCGTTCAATCCAGAACCTTTTCTTGGCCTGATGAATGAGAGGGTCTTTGACGATTGGGCGTTGAACGCCTTCGTAGCCTTGGCCATAAGCAAGTGGTCCCTGTCTTCGATACTTGCGGTAGTACATCTCACCATCTCGCATAGCGTCGGCATCGCGGAAGGAATCACCTGCTCCTCCCACAATGTGTTCTCCAGACTGCGCCTGAACTTGCACCTTCAGTGCTTGCAGTCGCCTTTTCCATTGATCCATGTCATCGACTTTTTCATGTCTAAATTCTGATCCGGAAGGCTTGTTCATGTTCTCTACATCAGGGGAGTTCTTGGGATCAAGGATGCTGTCAAGTTCTTCGAGAAGCTTCCAACGTACCATGCTCTCGTAGTTGTAGTCATTATCTGGCTTCCGGCGATGCACCTTCTTGTGCCGTGCAATTCTCACATTCTCCTCCTCGACTGAATGTCTACGCGCGTGATTTCCCCCATAGAGGCCTCCGGTCCTTGGATCCCCGTCTTTCACACTTGGGTATTCCTGAAAAGGATCTCGTGTTGTATCAACCTCAAATGGCTCGTCTCCATCCCACTGATTTCGCCTTACCTTGGGTGTATCGTCATCCCGGAAGCGTGGCCGGTGCCTCCTCTTGAAATCCCTTCCGTACTTCATGTCGTAGTCACTACCACCAGAGCCGTATTGGTCTACCAGGTCATCGATGAAGCTGTTTTTTCCTTTGATGTTCTCACCGGACTCCCCGGTTTCGTAGGCGTGCACCATTTGTTTTTCAACACTTCCTCCTTTGTGCCCTTTCACTTCTATCAGTGGCCCACTTCCAAAAACCTGCTTCGGGTCTTTCAGGTTCACCGCAGCTTCACTCAATGCACCCGTTTTGTTGTCAACGTGTTTTTTTGCTGGTGCTGCGAGCTCTTCTTCCGATGTCTGGTTGCCAATTGTCTGATTGTGTGATGCAGTGGCGTTAGCTGTTTTCGAAAGATTCTCAGTTGCACCCTTGTTGTCAGATACTTTTGTCTGATTTTTGGTCGTTTTGCGCGCGCGATCTTCCAAAGACTCGTGAGCGAAGGAAGTGGCATCAGAAGAAATTTCATGCTTTCTCTCAAGCCTGTGCACTGCCAGACTTATCTCTGGAACGTCGCTTAACTTGGAATTCTTGGGTTCTTCCTCTGAGCTGGGCTTTCCTGCAGCATCAGTATTCTTTCTTTTTTCAGTAGAACTGGTGTTTTCATGCGCAACGTCGGAAGCAAATGATTTTTCACTAAAACTGGCGGAGCTTCGTGCGACACCACTTTCAGACGTCGTGTTGCTTTCAAGCTTTGTATCCAGAAGCTCTGCATTATTCGTTAACTTGACCTTACTGTTTGGTAAGTACAAAAGGTTGCCGTTCTCTCCGCTTGTTTCGAATAACGGAGCAAAAGTTCCTATATCTTTGTCTAGATTCGCTTCTTGTACCAGCTTTGTCGTTTGTTTTTCTGTGTCATTATATTTTCCAAAGATCTTTGCATCCTGCAAAAGGCCATCACCCATGGCTGCAGCAGTTCTGTTGGCCTCGATTACTGCAGTTTCATTCCCGTGTTCTTTGCTTGCTATCTCAGACTTCTTTCTATCAGATCCAGTGTAAGCATTCAGCTCTTCGTCCTGATGTTTCTCTGCGAGTAGCCTGTTATCTTTTGTTTGATTACCAACCTCTGTGCCTGAAGCAACCGATTTGTCTGCAGTGAGCTCGCCTGATGAGCCTTTCTTGCCATATTCTCCTTTTTCCGCTGCACCGCTTGCAAGTGTGCTGTTAGAATAGTGAGAGTCGTCGGGAGAGCTTTTGTTCACGCTTGTAATAGATGCCAAATCCACGGAAGCACCGCCTTTCATTTCAAGTTTTGCTGGGTCGTGGACCGGAGCTTCAGATGCGCTTAACGGGAGCTGTTCTTTATTAGATCCGCTTACGTTTGGCTGGACAGAATCCACAAGAATTCCTTCGCTATGTACAAGGGGTGATTCGCCTGCAGCGCTTGAGACCTGGCTCTGATTTGAAGATGCGGCTTCACTTGCGTGTGTTTTGTTGACTTCTGGCAGCCCTTTAGTAGTTTCGAAATTCAGTACTCTCTTGGACGGTTTATTCCTGTGGAGCCTCCTCCGTCTATGTGTTTTCTTGGAGGTCTTTCCTATGTCAGATAGGGAGATGTTCTTCACAATCTCAATGCTGATTGGGATTTTCACGTTTGCCAGTGCATCATGACCGCCAGTTTCACCAGTGAGGGCCTCCTTTCCCAAACTGCTAACACTAGTCGCGGCGCCGTTCGCCGGTGCAACTTCAGCTGGTGCAGCTGGTGACCCGCTAGCTCCTACAGACGAGGTTTTCACTTTCTTGGACACATCCGTGTTCGTGCTTTCTAGGACACTTTTTCCAGCGTTCATATTTTCTTTGTCAGTACCAGCTGCGTTGATACTAACTAAAGTCGCAGATCCTTGCTCATCATTGTGGGCCTTTGTCGTGACAACCTCATGGCTTCCATTACCTTTGTGGTCCGGGCTAAGCGTGGCCTTCGGTGTAATATTTTCTTTGGAGTGGTCGACTGCTTTGATACTGTGGACAGTCGCCGATCTTTCCTCATTGTTGTGAGCTCTTGCCGGGACAACCTCAAGACTTGCGTCACCTTTGTAGTCCGGGCTAACGGCGTACTTTAGTATATCATCAGCGGTCAGCTTTGGCTTCTTTCCTTTTTTTCCTTTGTGCCCTTTTTTGTGGCCCTTCTTTTTTCCTTTGTGCTTCGGCACTTTCGTATGCTCATCCGAGGAGTCTTTGTTGGCCTCACTGCCGACTTCAGGTGCCTGGGCTTCCATCGCAGCGTGTACATCACGTTTTACTTTCCTCTTGGGCACATTGACTAAACCAGCGACAGCATCACGTCCGTGCAGGTTTTCGTCCATGTCTCGCATGATCTTGAAGCTGCTGTTGACCGAGGCTGGATCGCAAAGTCCTTTGGGGCAGTTGTCGTAACTTTGATGATCTTTTATGGCGAACGATATGGCCTTGTTGATAACTTCTTTGTCGCCACAACCTAGAGCTCCGTACTCTGTCACTACGCAACATTCCAACTTCGAGTACAGCCTGCAGAGAAACACAAAAATACATAGATGCTACACATTGAGAGTTCAATTGTACAACACAAACGTTTTGCTTTGCAGTTTGCTTTTTGTGACCACCCTGCAATTACAAAGTAAACGTCACATTGGTTTCGAGCTAGAGTGACTCACAACTGCCTTTTTTGTGAGCGGAAGGGGTGCTTCATTACGTGAAAGTGACATCAGCCGTTCGCTCGGACAGCATTATTGCCTCCACCGAAAATGCAGCCACCGCAACCGGGATTCAATCCCGCGAACTGCGAGTCAGCAGCCGAGTACCTTAGCCTAGACAACCATGGCGGGGCACGTTTGGTCTGACGTCAGTTTGAAGACTAATAACTTCATTTACCGCGCACTGATTTCAATAATTCTTTCTGATTTTATCTCAGCATTTGACACTACATGCACTCTTTGATCGCCTGGAATAAACGTGTTTTAAAACTAGATTGCAAGTGCTTTTGTCGCGTAAAAATACAGCAGCATTTAATACATTACTTAGAAAATATAGTTCATGACGTTAAGAAAATTCCTCAGCTTCATTCCGCGTTATGTCACTCTCTCCTAAACGCATATTAAAACCTAAATGTACTATAGTGTAATCCAATACACAGTACTCCAAAATGCAGCGTGTATTATTGAGCTTCCACGCACCATTACCTCGAAAAGCTTTTTAAATGGCTGTCATCGCTAATATGCACGATTATAGACTGGACGTAAACATTTTTTCTCAATTTCTCAATTCAATGATCGGAGTAGCATATATGGACACCGCATTATATGGAGATTTTTATAGGTCTTGCAAATGCGAGGGAGAAACAATACCAGAAGCAAGGGACCGAACTCGCCCCATATTACTCGCAGCGCCGTGATTGGCGAGTGGCATGCAGAAGCCGTCAATCTGTAGTCTACACGAAACTTCATTTTTGCATTTCCTACTTATGAACAAGGCCTGCGTGTTTCTTTCACCGAGGTAAATGAGCAGGCTTCCTTGCTGCCTTCGGGCTAACTATACATTCATACATTCTAAGTGAATTGACGGTATCAGCTCAAGAGTTATTAACCTACTTGCTTTACGCACACAGCCTTGCGGGCACCGCATAACCGGAAACTTTTGGGTCAGTAAACGCGATTTAGAGACAGAAAGCATACAGACTTCTGTAAATACAAATTTTTCTGAGCTGCTAATGCGCTCACTCCTGCCAACATTAGTAACATTTATTTTCATCATAGTCGGACGAAACGTTTGATAAAACTGTAGTCTAGACAGCTGACTAGAACATCAGCACTTGCACATATAGCCGGAATCGGTCGAATCGAACGCGTTTCGTGACAATACCTCAAGATTGCACTTAAACGCACGCGTGAAACGGGATACCACTAGGCGCCTGGTTACATTTATCCAGCGTAATGGTGGCTGAATAATGCACGCTACATTTTGGAGTCGCATGTACTAGATGATGGCACTAATCGTTTTACTTTATATGCGCATAGGATGCAGCGACATAACGTAAAATGACGAAGCTCAAGGGTTTTCTCAATGACATTTTTTTTAATATTTCTAAGGCGTTTTAACAAGTTCTGCTGGATTTTACAGTTTACTGCTACCGATATCTTTGGCACTGGTATCTACGGAACTACAGGAGAGGTGGGAAAGGAATTCCGATTAACATACGAGTTTCCTAATGTTCCAGGGCTCTGAAAGAATTGTAAAACGCACGAACGGCCTGGGTCCTTCAATCTGTTTTTACTGTGGTCATGCTCTTTAACAAAGCTGATTTTTTTCGTTAGGTACATTGCTTTATCCAAATTTTATTATAAGTGGTTTATAGAGACAGCCAACCGCCTAATTCAAAGGGTAATTTATGCTAATATTATAGCAATGAATTGCTAGTGTTAAAGCGCATATTTGCAAACTGCGATTGAATTTTGAACTTTACGTGCAAACATTTTCCGTTAGGATAATAGGTGAATTGTCCATCGAGTATGGCTTCTACGCACGGCAATTTCACGTGCGTGCCTCATTTCGACACCCTTTTTACTTTAGAGTTCAGAAATATGCCGTGCACGTCCCTGAGAATCAGGTTAGCGAAATGATATACCTCAGAGGGTAAAGCTTGTTTTGCATGCGTAGTAAATAGGTAGGTATAGTAGAGCATAGAAGGATAATGATCGAACACTCACGTGCAGTTCGTGTGCTGGTTGTTTTGGTTCATCGAATGCATCATCTCGAGCTCAGTGATGAATGCCGCTCTACACTCGCTCACTCTAACGCCTTCGTTCAGGCATGCCTCAGGAATGACTGCGAAGAAATATAATGATTTAATAATTGCGGTGCGATTTTCGTGTGTTTTACGCACTTGAATAGAGCTTTATCATACTTATATTTTACAATGCTTCGGCCAAAATTTGCATAGGTTCTTGCAAAATACAACTTACGGTCAATAAGGCGATGATGGGCTAGTTGGTTCATGTTGCATCTTTGGATATATATGCAATATTTTGAACAAATTAACAACAAAGGCACACAGACAGAGGTAAAGTACGTTATGTCTTGTTTGCTTCTTCGATTTAATTTTTTTTATTTTATTTTCACAAGAAGTTTTTTAAGAGTACTGCTCCTTATATCGATACCAAGTTTGGTCTACAAAACTACATGGTAAAGGTTTTTGTGTAAGGTATAGGAAAGAAAATATTAAACCTCTCAAGCTGCTAAAACTTACCAGAAAAAAACACAAATTTCGCTAAGTCGTCATTTTTGTTCATATTGAGACGCAATTTGCACTATGTGGTGGTCAACCTTAAAAATCGCCTTTATACCTAAATCAAAAGCAAATAAGCAGTTCTTTTTATATGGCATATCTTATATTGTTTTTGTTTTAAGGAAGAAAACTTTTGAACTTTCCCATTGGCGCGTATCTTCCCATTTGGTCGTGCGATATAGCTGCCGCCCGTAAAGTTCCTTATTGCAGTCAATGGAAAAGTTCAAAAATTATTTTCTTCCTAAAACTAAAAATGTATTGATAATATTCACTCTATGAAAAGCACTGTTCATTTGCTTTCAACCGTGCAAGTGATTTTTAATTTACAACCACCTGGCGCAAATATGGTCTCAATAAGGACAAAAATGACGATTTTGTAAAATTTGTGATTTTTGTTGTGAATTTTTGCAGCTTGATAGATTTCAATATATTTCTTGCTCAAAATATACTTTTTTATGAAATAAGCATCCACTACTAATATTAAAATTCAAACAACACATTTCAGCTAGATGTTTGGAGGCGTATGTGGCAGATAAATTGCTCTAAGATTACCAAGTTTCAAACACCCTACGCAAGAACCTTCACTTAACATTTAGACCACATTTGATATAGAAAGAAGGAGCGTCACTTTTGCTACAATTTTTTTGCACAAACAATGTCCAAACCCCATTCCGGAAAGTGCAGAAGGTTCAGTAAATCAGCATAACTTTTTTTTTCTAATACATATGAGATGGTCACCAAAATGGCTGGGGACGTTTGGCATGGAATGGCTTATTTGAGAATGCTGGCTTCTCCGCAACAAGTCCGCTAGTGCGGAGAGGCCCGCTTCTGCCTTTAATATTATTTTTGAGTGCGCGTAATATGATCAGCGTAAAAAAGATCACCCATTGCGATACTCGCTAACACGAAATTAGAGCGCAGGAGGATATTAACTTTGCCGGCACAGAGTTGCTGCTCACGCCATAGAGTTTCTCAAAATTAACTAGAGGGCACTCTGGCGCTGCGATCGTTCAGCGACCATGGGAATGATGGGTAGTACACACATTTACCTAGTCTTCGTACTAGCGCGGCGAATCGTACTTGCGGCTTCGTTTATTGCTGTGTTTCGGTTTTGTTTTAAAAGAAAGATTGAATGCTTTTGAACTTCGTAAGCCAATTTGAAAAGTAAGTCTAAAAAAATAAAATGGTGAAGCGCAACCGCTGAACATTACCTAATACTTGTTTCGTAAGAAAACAGCTCCAAGCCACACGAACACACACGGAGCCAAAGGCAGGCCAGAAGTACGAACACTAGACAAATGTGTATACTACCCATCATTCCCATGCTCGCTGAAGCGCCGTGCGTTGCAGCTCCCATAGACACTAGCGCCAGAGTTCCCTCTAGTAAGTATTGTGGGAAACTATGGCTCACGCAGTTCGCCGAGCAGCAGCGGCAGATACATCTACAGGTTGCGTCGCAGAAAAGAAGCACTGAGAACGGAAACTCGTTGCCAGCGTAAAGCCCACTGGGCTAGCTCAAACGCAACCATGCCGCCACTTTACGGGTGCTACGTTGCCTAATCACGCTCCGGAAGTCGCTTTTTAGCTTTTAAAAAAAGGGCCGTGTAGAGCGCACTCGAACTCCCTAAAGTCAGCGCGCCGAATTTTTTGCGGCAGCGGCGACGCAGGCCAAGTAGCGCATACGTAATTGGGCTTAATTACGCCAGCACTGTCATCTCGTTCACTATTTGCATCATTCTCGGCTGTACATTGCTTCTCTCCCTTTAAATACTGCTGCCGTTTATTTCACCCGGGTCCGAGTTTGCACTGTTTCATCCTTGTTTCATCCGGCTAGAAAAAAAAAATGAGGAAGACTCGAAACACGAACGGATAATGAAAAGCTGCGCTCTAAATATTACAAAAAAACATTCGACCGGAGGCCTTCTGAACATGCTAAGCAATGCTCACTTTGATACCACATGAGCTGTAAGTTATGGGCCTAATGAAGCGCAGCTGCGGAGAAGAATGATTTAATGCTAAAACGCGCATCACCTTTCAAATCAAAAAGCGCGGCTTTCACACCGTATTGGGATGACTAACAGCCCGCTAAACGTCCACGCCGCATACGTTGCTTCTCGACGCATACGTTGCCCTATTTCGGCAGTAATCAGCTGCCGAAATCACTCTTCCACAAAACGAGAACCTAAATGCACTAAACGTCGAGTATTGCCCACGCGTGTATGCTGCGAATAAGTACCTACAGAAATGGCAAATAAAATCCCTTGCTAACCCCCATCTTAGGTAAAAATCGGCCTATGTGAAGCAGACTGAAAACGAGTTTAAAATATCTGAGCAATAATATAACAGACTAATTATTTTAATTGGACCAGCTTGGTTTGGCAAGGGCGAATCAGGCAGCCTCCGCACGCTCAACACATCGCGTGCACAGTGGCGCACATCCTGTGCGCGCGTAAAGGACGAGAAAGGAGTTGATCTCGAAAACGTCACTGCGCATTACAATGAAATGAATTGCCAGATGCTTTGGCACGAGCATCACTTGGTGGACCAGTATTTTCAGTACTTCCCGAGTTAGAATACTTATCAGGGGTTAGATATAGGAAATTCGCTACTATTACAGATAGTTTAGAAAATATCACACAATGGGCAGATTATCAGCACCTCAAATTTCTATGGAAAGCCCCAGGGATTCCGTCAAAAAAACGTGAAATTATCATTTCCAGATTGTGGTGCCGTGTCCCCCCATTAAATTTTATTTACACAGAGCTGGTCTGACACTTTCCCCCCTTTGTCCGTTTTGCGAAGAATCAAACTATTAAACAGTATTTTGGCTCATGTCGGAACTATGCAGTAATTAGGAAAAGACTTCTAGATATTCCATTTGCGAAGCTAGGTTTATATTTTACCACAGAAAATGTTCTAAATTTTGGTACCTCTGTTTAGGGAAATCGCCACAGAGATGCATTCGATGCAATGTGTAATTTTATTCAAGACTCTAAACGTTTTTCAACATAAAGCCCGCGTTAACGGATACTTAAAAAAAGCGGGTTGAGAAGTAATTTTTAAATCTGGATAAATCCGTGACATACCAAATTAATTGGGTTTGGCAAAACCAGCTGCCTGGTTGGCTCCCAAAATCAAGGTACAGCTATTAGTGTCTACTTTATTGTTGATTTTTTTTCGTCCATATGAGACTATGTTCTCTCGGCGAATCCCCCAGAGTGGGTATGAGCATAGATTCTAGGCTACAGACAAACAAACAAACAAACGAATCACTAACTCTTAAAGGAGAAGTCGATCTTGAAAATGAATTGCTAACTTCAATTGAAGTTGATCTCGAAAACAAATCGCTAACCATGAGTTTATCTCTGAAATATTGCAGAAGTCGATCTTGAAAATGAATTGCTAACACTTTAATTGTTGAATTCGATCTCGAAAACAAATCGCTAACCCTAATCCAAGAAGTCTATCTCGAAAACAAATTGATATCCCTAATCAGACGGAGAAGTTGATCTCAAAAACGTATCGCTAATCCCAATCGGGGAATTCGATCTCGAAAACGAATCACTTGCTCTAATCGGAAAAATTGATCTCGAAAATTAATTTTAAACCCTAAATAGAGAAGTAGATCTTGAAAACGAATTGTCGACCTTTATCGGAGAAGTCAATCTCGAAAATTAATTGCTAACCCTAATTGGAGACGTCGATCTCGAAAACGAATTGCTGAGCCTAATCGGGGAAGTCCATCTCAAAAACACATCGCTAACCCTAATCGGGAAAGACGATCTCGAAAACAAATTGCTAACTCTTATCAGAAAGTCAATCTCAAAAACGAACAGCTAACCCTAATCGAAGAAGTCGATCTCGAAAACTAATTGCTAAATCTTATCGGAGAAGTCAATCTCGAAAACGAATCGCTAACCCTAATAAAGGAAGTCGATCTCGAAAACTAATTGCTAATTCTTATCGGAGAAGTAAATCTCGAAAACGAATCGCTAACCCTAATCAAGGAAGTCGATCTCGAAAACTAATTGATATCCCTAATCAGAGAATTTGATCTCGAAAACGAATGGCTATCCCTTGTCGGAGAAATTTATCTCGAAAATGAATTGCTGACCTGGCGAAGTCAATCTCGAAAGCAAATCGCTAACCCTAATCGAGGAAGTCGGTCTCGAAAACTAATTGCTAATTCTTATCGGAGAAGTCAATCTTGGAAACGAATCGCTAACCCTTATCGGAGAAGTCAATCTCGAAAACGAATCGCTAACCCTAATAGAGGAAGTCGATCTCGAAAACTAATTGCTAATTCTTATCGGAGAAGTCAATCTCGAAAACAAATCGCTAACCCTAATCGAAGAAGTCGATCTCGAAAACTAATTGATATCCCTAATCGGAGAATTTGATCTCGAAAACGAATCGCTATCCCCTATCGTAGAAATTTATATCTCGAAAATGAATTGCTAACCCTAATCAGGGAAGTCAATCTCGAAAACAAATTGCTAACCCTAATCTGAAAAGACCATTTCAAAAACAAAGTGCTAACCCAAATCGGAGAAGTCAATCTCGAAAACAAATCGCTAACCCTTATCGGGAAAGTCGATCTCGAAAACGGATCGCTAGCGTTAATCGGAGAAATCGCTCTCGAAAATGAATTTCAAACACTAAACGGAGAAGTAGATCTTGAAAACGATATGCCAACTCTTATCGGAGAAGTCGATCTCAAAAATAAATTGCTAACCCTTACTGGAGAAGTCGATCTCGAAAACGAATTGCTGACCCTAATCGGGAAGTCCATCTCGAAAACAAATCGCTAACCCTTGGAGAAGTCGATCTCGAAAACGAATCGCTAACTCTAATCGGAGAAATCGATCTCGAAAACTAATTGCTAACCCTAATAAAGGAAGTCGATCAATCTCGAAAACGAATCGCTAACCCTAATCGAGGAAGTCGATCTCGAAAACTAATTGATATCCCTAATTGGAGAAGTCCATCTCGAAAACGAATGGCTATTTCTTATCGGAGAAATTTATCTCGAAAATGAATTGCGGACCTTGCGAAGTCAATCTCGAAAGCGAATCGCTAACCCTAATCGCGGGAGTCGATCTCGAAAACTAATTGCTAATTCTTATCGGAGAAGTCAATCTCGAAAACGAATCGCTAAACCTAATCAAGAAAGTCGCTCTCGAAAACTAATTGATATCCCTAATTGGAGAAGTCCATCTCGAAAACGAATGGCTATTTCTTATCGGAGAAATTTATCTCGAAAATGAAATGCGGACTTTGCAAAGTCAATCTCGAAAGCGAATCGCTAACCCTAATCGCGGGAGTCGATCTCGAAAACTAATTGCTAATTCTTATCGGAGAAGTCAATCTCAAAAACGAATCGCTAACCCTTATGGGAGAAGTCAATTTCGAAAACGAATCGCTAACCCTAATAGAGGAAGTCGATCTCGAAAACTAACTGCTAATTCTCATCGGAGAAGTCGATCTCGAAAACGAATCGCTAACCCTATTCGAGAAAGTCTATCTCGGAAAACTAATTGATATCCCTAATCGGAGTCCATCTCGAAAACGAATTGCTAACCCTAATCTGAAAAGTCAATTTCAAAAACCAATTGCTAACCGTAATCGGGAAGTCGATCTTAAAAACAAACTGCTAACCCTAATCGGCGAAGTCGATCTCGAAAACGAATTGTTAACCCTAATCGGGAAAGTTGGTTCTAAAAAATCAGTAAGGCTAATCCAAATGAACATCTAAGTGGAGCTCGGCAGCTACGAAGTGGCTATGCCACGTAAGACAAGAGAACGGCGTACAGCCAGCTTACCATCTTCAGTCCTCCGTCGCTTGGCTGTGGCCAGGCCCCCGCTACAAAGGGACAGAAGGACGATGATTACCAGACTTCTCTTGACGTCGTACATGATCCTGAAATCGACAAAATGTTCATAGCACACTGTTAAAAAATATTGCACGCTGCAGTAAGAGGAGCGAGCATCTAAATGCCGGCGAGGCAAATCTAAGCGTTAAGGGCACAAATGGGGTAAGCACCGCTTCAGGCCAAATAGGCCTAGCACTAAGCTCGGGCCCCCTCCTCAAAGAAAAAGGTTATCTGGCAAAAAAGCCCTGAACTGGGAGAAATTTACGAGCCGGCCCACGTCGAGGGCGGCCGCGAAGGCTACAAGGGGCACGAAGAGAACGCTGGCGAGCAGCGCTGGGCTCCCACCTTGCTCTGGCGCCGATCACTTGCGGTCACAGTACAGCATCCCAGGAGCGAAAGATGCAGGCGACCGACTCGTTCGCTGGCAGGGTTCGATCTGAAGGCAATGGCGGCCCAGACCACAGCGTGCGACTCGCGAACCCGTGCGCGTGACGGTTTCGTCTTCCTCTGCTTCGTTCGTGCTTCAACGGATGCTCGGCCGTGGAGCATGGCAGAAAAAACGAGCCTGGAGAGAAATTTTGAGAAATGTGAGGACGTGTACCCTCACCGAAGCGACAATTATATCGGTAGCATCTCAGCGACAGAGCTGATCAGGGCAAAAAGGCATTAGGAGCTACGCGGAGAGTGAAAACACTCGTCTTATACAAAGAGCTACAGGTGGCTTTTCATAGGGAAAGAGACGAAGAGCGCATCACACGAGCTGCCACGTCAGGTGAAACTAACTTTTCCGCGGGCGCATGCAGGCATGAGCTCGTTCACGCGTGATAAAAGAAAAAAGTGCGCGTGGCATGGTACAAGTATGGCACGTTCAAAGAAGAAAATGGCGCGGTTTATTACGCTTGTTACACAAAAACCAAAAGAAATAAATGACTTGTTTGTAATGCGACACAATACACATAACAGCTACTGTTAATTGTTTCGAGTACAACTTATAGCTCCGGTTGTGCTTATATTAGCACTAACGTTATAATGTCGCAAACTTCTTCGGTGAAGGTATTGCGTTATTTTGAGGCAAAAGGCGTGAGGACGACGACAAAGAAATATACACATAGAGACATACATCCAACATACACAAGAGCATTGTTTAACCATGCTGATTCTTATTCAAGGTAATCTCTTATCTGAACGAGTGACAAACAACTATTGCACTCCTTTCATTCTGCCTAGGGTGTCTTTTCTTTTTTCTTTCTTTTTTCTGGTGGGTGGTTTCGATATTGAAAAAAAATCTTACTAAATTAAGTCATCGATTCTTGGCCGATCCCCCTGAGTGGGTACGAACCATGGCTGTGGAATCATCATCATCATCATCATCATCATCATCATCATCATCATCCACCCTTTTATCGTTTGGAGCCAGTCAGGTGGGTGCGGGCCGCAGTGCTATTCTGTCAGCACTACATAAATTCATTCAGGATACGCCACTAGAGGTACCACCTGATATATCTAATATTTTGTCCCCCTTCTTCCCTTCTTAATTTTTGCTAATTTGTTTTGTATATTATGGTTCATCGAATTCTTCTGCCCTTTTCACCTTTTTTTCTTTGTGTTTTAAAGGAAGGTTATTATTATTCCTATCTAATTTTTCTCTTTTTTTAGCAAGTGTTGCGTTTGTCCCGCTGCGGTGGTCTAGTGGCTAAGGTACTCGGCTGCTGACCCGCAGGTCGCAGGATCGAATCTCGGCTGCGGCGGCTGCATTTCCGATGGAGGCGAAAATGCTGTAGGCCCGTGTGCTCAGATTAGGGTGCACGTTAAAGAACCCCATGTGGTCGAAATTTCCGGAGCCCTCCACTATGGCGTCTCTCATAATAATATGGTGGTTTTGGGACGTTAAACCTCGCATATCAATCAAGCAAGCGTTGTGTAAAAAATTTTACATTATAAGGTACAGTGTGGCCAATCCCCCTTGTGGGTGTGAGCCGAGATCTTATAGGCGATAAGACAAGACAAGAAAGGACGCGCACTGCGTAAGCCTAACGCATGCTTGTGCTAAGCTCTTTCTGTCACATATACAATGTGCTGTGCGACGTGGCGTTGTACACCACGAGGGACAGTCTACCGTAGTAACTTGTCATACATGGATTAAGCTGCGACTAAAATGAAACAGGCCAGAAAACTATATATGCAAACAGCAGTTTGGGAATACTGACTAGAAATCGTTTTCGAATAACTTGAAGCGACGAAGCTTTGCGTACACGTACGCACGAAATTACTCAAAGTGAAAAGTATTGTTACAATGGTAAAAACCATAGTTTTACACAAATCTCGCTCAATAACGAACAAACTAGATTTATGTGTGTTTTGTTTTTCACGCGGTGAAGGGCCTATAAACGTGTGGGTAGCGCTAGCGCCAGCGGATGAACACCAGCAGAAAAAAAGGAAGACCAACTTGGGGCACTCGTATAAAAGCGATTGCCATGTTAAAGTGATTATATATATATATATATATATATATATATATATATATATATATATATATATATTATTTGTTTTAGATTTAGACCCATCATAACTTCTCTCTCAAATCACATCTGATAGCCTGCATCGATCTCTGCTCAGATATACTCCTTTTTCGATTTTTTGGCTTTTCTTTCTATATATACTTTTTTCAGTCCAAATTTACTTTGCGTTTGTAAAAACTTATTGCTTTTATAGAGAAATCCTGCCGCCCGGTTTTTGGCCAATCCCCCTTTGTGGGTGTGCGCCAGAATAACAAGGATCACCATCATCATCATCATCATGTGCTCGGCGCGCTGGCGCTCACCAGGTCTCTTTCTTTTTGATGTTGCACGGCGTTTACTGTTGCTTTATTCAATGGCTTTCACTATTTTTCCTGTATAATCGACAGTGTCACCGATCTCCTTCGTGGGTACGTACGAGACAGTTTTCCTGTGCGACAAAACGAAACAAAGCTGCGGGCAGTAAGGGCCTAGATCTTGGACAGTAAAAGTTCTTGTTCTGGCTGCCTCCGCGTTCTTGCTCGGGGCTCCGGCTGACCGCCAGCCCTGAGCCTACGCATGTGAAGTAAACGCGCACATCGAGTTAGAATGCAGTCGCGATCAACGCTATAGCGAATGCGGCAGCGCTACTAAAATAAAAAAAAACTCAATACCGCGCTCCTTTCGGGGCCTTTCCGGTGTCTCCAGCACTAACCGTGGCGTCAAGAGGGTGCATCTGGGATGTAACCCGCAGCAGCCACGCTGTCTGTTGGTCGAGCAGGAACATGTTTGTCTGGTAACACGTAAGCGTGCTTTCTGTTCTTCGTAGTGTTGCTCGGCGCACGGCGAGACGGAAAGACCAGCCTACGAAAGGAGCGCAGAGAAGCGAAGAGCGAAGCGAGCGAGGACCACGTCTCGCGAACTATCATTTTATTCCACGAGAATATAGTTCACCTTATTTGCCCTTAGTGTATAGTGGGGATGGAAAGGAACGCGAACACGCGGCCGTGGCATCGACATTCTGTGCTGTTCCGCATTTATTTTCGAGCAGTTGTAGCCTGCATGGGGATAAATAGCCTCTAGAGTCATCTATGATACAGTCAACAACTATCTATAGCATCTTTTTTTACGCGATTGCTTCAAAGAACTCGTTTCACAGAAATTCCGGTGTCGGTGCCCTTCTTTTCTTTTAACGTGCGCCATGTTCACTTTTCTTAGCATAGCGCGCGCTAGAAGAAAAAGAGGCCACGGCGCGTGCCACGAGGAGCTTGTTCCTTTTCGCTGGAGTTGAAAAAAAAAGTTGTCGAAATCAAGCATATTCATTAAAAATTTAACATTTCGAAATTATGAACATTTCCTTTTAAATAGCAAGGTACCATTCGTTTCATGGCCGATCCCCCATGGTGGGTTGCGCCAGGATAAAAGGGACAATGAAACAAACAAACAAACAAACAGCAGTGTTGAGACGCGCTTCTCTATCTCTTTAGGTGTATTTGCCCTCAAAGCCCGGTTCGTTTTCGAACGAATTCTTCGGGTTTTGCATGAAGTATACGTTAACCAGCGGTCAGCGTTGTGTTGTTCTGTGATATACATACTGAGGGAGACCCTTGAGCTTTGCCTTTAAAAGTTGAACGCGATAGAGATATTCTGTTTCTAGTGCACACTCCAAACACTTAGTATTCGAAATCTTTTCAAACTTGCTATGCATTCACAACGTGGCCTTAAGGGCTCACTAAAACGTGTGTGCCTTTTGTAGCGGGCGACTTGCTTTAAACTATGTAGTTATTATTATGATCCCATGTTTTGACGCTCGATGGTAATGCACGCTTGTACCACACAATATTACGGCAATATTTCATGTTGTATAGTGAAGCATGTACACAGGACGCGTGCGTTCGTATAAAGCATGAAAGTTACTTTCACTGCATTTCCAAACAGAGCACGTTATTTTCATTACGTTTGCAAGCAGAGACGTGGCTGTGTGGTGAAACACCCGCCTGCCATGCAAACGGCCCGGGTTCGATCCCCTCCCAGACCCAGAACGTTTCATTTTCTTGATGTCTTTCTCAATGTTTCAGTAACCCAAGGATTATTTTTCGCTCACAACCACGTGCGCCAAAATTTCCGCGAAACGAGCTCTTTCACGTTATCGTGTTAATAATACGTAATTATACACGCGCTATTAATGCTTACAGTGTAACTACACATTTAACCAGTTCACAGCACTACGATGTTGCTTCCAGAGCTTCACTCCCGAACAAGAGACACGTACTTCTGCCATGGCTTGTCACTTTCAAGATTTTATTTTTCACGGACGCGTCAAGAATTACGTGAGGGAAAAAGTCTCATCAAAAGCACCCCCTTCACCAGCTTCGTGGTTTTGACTTTTCCGTAAACTGTACTAATCATTTTAAAAAATTAAAAAACTTGCAGTGTTGCAAATAATATGCAAAGAGCGCCATCTATACATCATGGTCGTCCGGGATATTTCATCAGCAGAGCTCACACAGTGCACGCAGTTTCACGCTTCGTGGAAAAACGCATACTCACGTTGACCATTAGGTGTTTTGACCTCCTTTATTATTTAATTTTTTCTCAGTATCTTGAAAAGAATCGCTGGGAAACGTTTGCAATGAAAGTGCGATGTGATATATTTTATCATTTTGTCGCTGACGATTGTATGCCAAGTGTCGAGTTTTCTTAACAAAATCACCATGTACGTGGTTAACATAAAGCACATGAGCGCATGCTTTGCTTTACTTTCTTTAGATGAAGCCTAACAAAAGTGCACGCTGCGAATATGCGCGAGTGGAGTACGAAAAGAGTTTAATTTTCATTAGATACGGCAATGTTCATACAGGTAGATGCAAACGTGACATGTGCAGTAGGTGCAACTAGGGGTGCGACAGAACGCTTTAAGGGGCCCTGAAACACTTTTTTGAGTAACCATGGAATTAATTCACTGGAAGAGCTTATTGCCTCACAATTTCAACGCCGAAATATCTTAAGAATCCGTTTAGCGCGAGCAGAGTTACAAAAAAAAAAACTCCCAAGCATTTCCCCAAGGGTGAACATGGTTAAGTGCGAATACACGGGGTGATGCTATGAGGGGTATTTATTAATTCGCACTATTATATTTATTAATCACACTATGGTGCCTTTATGGTGTAATGGTTCCTGGGAATCGCAATTTGATCACACGGGGGAGTTTACGTTAACTCACTGGCGAATGCCAACGGATTTTAACTTTACTCCCCCTTACGACCCACT